GTACTGCCAAGGAAGTATGGGATTATTTACTCGGTGTTTATCAGCAGTCCAATTTTGCCAAGCGGTATGAGTTGGAAACAACTATTCAGGGTGCTCGTCAGCAGGATCAAACTATTTAGGACTTTTATATTGAGATGACAGGTCTCTGAGATCAGTTGGCTCTTATGGAACCACCTAGTCTCAAGATACTAGATGCTTATATTGAGTTTCGGGAACATGGTCGTTTAGTCCAGTTCTTAGCAGCTCTCTCCCCTCAGTATGAGGCTATTCGAGGTGGCATCCTTCACCGATCTCCTCTTCTCTCTGTGGATGCTATTGTTCGTGAACTTCTCTCCGAGGAAACCCGTCTTAAGACGGCCAGTCAGACTTTGCCTCCTTCTGTGTTCTTGGCTCCTGCCAAGCCGCCCTTGTTATCGACCCCTCCTTCTCATCAACTTCAAGCCACTGCGAAACCCAAGAGAGGACCATTAGGGCTAGATGAGTGTGCTTTCTGCCATCAGAGGGGTCATTGGAAGAACAATTGTCCTAAAAAGGGACGTCAGCCTGCTCCGTCTTCTCAGACACAGTTCTGCGGTACTACTTCGAGTACTTTCCGACCTCCTGCTGCTTACACTGCATCTACTCCAGCTCCCGATCCTGACTTGGCTTCCCTGAGTGCTCAGGTTGCACAACTTCAGCATATCTTGTCCACCTCTCAGTCATCCCCATCTGCCTCCGCTCTTACCTCTCTTCATTCAGGTTTGCTTGGGTCCTCTTCAGGTATCCCTTCTTCTGTTTGGATTTTTGATTCTGGTGCCTCACATCATATGACTCCTCACCTTTCCTTACTTCAAAATTGTATTCCCCCACCCGTTCCTATTACTATTAATACTGCTAATGGATCTGGTATGTCTGTTTTATCTGTTGGGTCTGTCTTACCCTCTGCCATGTCTGCTATTACTATTCCTTTTGTCTTTTATGTTCCTCAGTTATCTGTCAGTTTGTTATCTATCAGTCAACTTGATGCGTCTGGTTTTGATGTTATCTTTTCCTCTTCTACCTGTTGTGTGCAGGATCAGGTGTCCAAGAAGCAGATTGGGACCGGCTGTAGAATTGGAGATCTCTATGTGGTTGAAAGCTTGCATCTCCCATTATCCACCTCTCCAGCTGCACTTTCCTCGTTTCAATTAGATTCTCAGTCGAGTCAATTTTACTTATGGCATTCTCGTCTTGGTCATTTGTCTGTTGACCGCTTACAGTCTTTAGCTCAGTCAGGATTGTTGGGTAAAGTTTCTCCTAGTCAAATTGATGAATGTCGGGGGTGTAAACTTGCTAAAATGTCAGCTTTACCTTTTAATAAAAGTACGTCTATTTCTGTTTCTCCTTTCTCTCTTGTGCATACTGATGTCTGGGGACCCTCTCCTGTTCTTACTAAAGGGGGTTCAGTATATTATGTGTCTTTTGTAGATGATTGCACCCGTTACACGTGGGTTTATCTTATGACTCATAAGTCTGACTTCTACCAAATATATCGTATTTTCCAGTTTATGGTCACTACACAGTTTGGATCTACTATTAAATTGTTGCGGTCTGACTTAGGTGGAGAATACTTTAAAACTGAATTCTGTGAATATTTGGCCAACTTGGGTACCATTCACCAAACTTCTTGTACTGATACACCTGCCCAAAGTGGCCGAGCTGAGCGTAAACACCGTCATCTTCTTGAGACAGCTAGATCTCTTCTTCTCTCTGCCTCCGTTCCAGCTCCGTTTTGGGGTGAGGCAGTTCTTACTGCTGCTTTTCTTCTCAATCGTATGCCTATCCCCCTTCTTTTGGGTCGGTCTCCTTATGAGGCTCTCTTTTCTCAACCTCCTAATTACTCCCTCCTTCGTGTATTTGGGTCTGCATGTTTTGTCCTTTTACCCCGTAAAGATAGGACTAAATTTAGTGCCCGATCTGTCCTATGTGTTTTTTTGGGATATAGTCTCACTCAGAAAGGTTATCGCTGTTATGACCCTGTTTCTCGTCGCCTTTATGTCTCCCGCCATGTTGCCTTTCTCGAACGTCTATCTTACTTTCAGCTTCCTCCTCTCACCGCCCCAATTTCCAAAGAGGATTTGGTTCATATTGATCCATTTCCTTCTGAAGTCCCATCTGATGAGTACATCTCCACAGCTCCTCCTGAGCTTATTCCATCTTCTCCTTCTGCTTCACCTCTGACTACTTCTCCTCCTTCGCCTCCTCCTTCGCCTTCTCCTTCTCTTTCTTCTTCTCCTCCGTTGTTAGTTCATTCTTGTTGCAAAGCTCCTCCTCTACTAGTTGTCTTTACCCTTACTGCTGATCCTCCTGCTTCTGACGACTCTGATCCTGCTACACACCGATATCCTCCTCGAGCGCGTCATCCTCCAAAAAGGTTGGGTTGGTCTAATACTTGTTTTTCTGCTTCCTATCGTACCTTTTTGTCTGCTATTCACTCTTTTGCAGAACCTTAGTCTTACAAGGAGGCCTGTCAGGATCCTCATTGGGTTCAAGCTATGGAGGATGAGTTGTTTGCTCTACAGAAAACGAGTACTTGGGAGTTGGTTCCTTTACCTGTTGGTAAGAATCTAGTTGGTTGCAAATGGGTCTACAAAGTCAAGACTCATTCTGATGGTTCTCTTGAGCGCTACAAAGCTCGTCTGGTGGCCAAAGGTTTCTCCCAGGAGGATGGTATTGATTATGAGGAGACATTTGCTCCTGTTGCCAAGATGACTACTGTCCGTACTTTGATTTCTGTCGCTGCTGTTCGTTCTTGGCCCCTTTATCAGATGGATGTTAAGAATGCTTTTCTTAATGGCACTCTCACTGAGGAGGTTTACATGTGTCCTCCCCCTGGTCTTCACCATTCCTCTGGCCAAGTCTGTCGTCTTCAGCGTGCTCTATATGGTCTGAAGCAGTCTCCTCGTGCTTGGTATGATCGCTTTCAGACTACTGTTACCGAGCTTGGGTTTCATCCTTCTGCTTCCGACTCTGCTTTATTTCTAAGACATACCTCGGCTGGTTTTGTTGCTCTCTTACTATATGTAGATGATATGATCATCACTGGCTCTGACTCTTCTGCTATCTCTGAGGTCAAGCAGCATCTCTTTTGCACCTTCGAAATGAAGGATCTGGGACCATTGCGGTATTTTCTTGGCATTGAGGTGGCTTCTTCTCCCAAGGGTTACTTTCTGTCCCAGGCTAAGTATGCTAACGAGGTTATCCATCGTGCCAGACTTACTGGCACTAAGCTGTCTGATACCCCCATTGAACTTAATGTAAAGCTCAACACTACTGATGGGGTTCCTCTAGATGATCCTACGTTGTATTGCGAGCTTGTGGGTTGCTTAGTCTATCTGACAGTTACTCGCCCTGATCTTGCCTATGTTGTCCATGTGATTAGTCAGTTTGTTTCTGCCCCTCGCTTTATACATTGGGCTGCTTTGCTTCGGATTCTTCGTTATCTTCGCAATACTATCTTTCAGGGCTTGCTGTTCTCTTCTACTTCTTCTTTAGACTTGGTGGCTTATGTTGATGCTGATTGGGCTGGTGATGTTAATGATCGTAAATCTACTTCTGGTTTCTGTATGTTTCTTGGCGATTCCCTAATTTCTTGGAAAAGCAAGAAACAGACTGTTGTTGCCCGTTCTACTACCGAAACTGAGTATCATGCTATGGCTCATGCTATTGCTGAAATTGTCTGGCTTCGTCAGCTCTTATCTGAGTAGGGCGTCCCTCAATCTTCCCCAACCTCTCTCTATTGTGACAACCGAAGTGCTATTCAAATTGCTCATAACACTGTCTTCCATGAACGGACAAAACATATTGAGATTGATTGTCACTTCGTCTGTCAGCATCTGCAGTCTAGCTTTATCTCGCTTCCTTTTGTCTCTTTGGCTCTGCAACTTGCTGACTTCTTCACTAAGACTCACACCACTGCTCGGTTTCGGTTTTTTCTTGACAAACTCTCAGTGCTTTCTGCTAAAACACCTTGAGTTTGAGCGGGGGTGTGAGAATATGTGTTCTCCTCGGATTAGGAATAAGTGTCCTATGTCTATTAGACTTTTATATATCTCAGTAATGTATTCATGTAGGGTTAGGAATTAGTGGTACTCTACATAAATGATGTATGTATTCTTTGTTCAAATTAATTCAAGACTAATATACAGTTTTATTCAGAAAACTTACAACAATGGTGGATATTATAAATAGGTCTCAAAGCCCCTTTCCTCTTTCAATTCATTTATGTGTATACCAATCACTTCTGGCCCCTCCTATCTGGATAAGTCAGATTGCTTCTAGTTATCCCGGGTGAATCTTAGCAATCACTTTGTGTGCGTGTAAATCCTAGCAATCATAACTAAACTATTATGACAGGGACAAATTTAGTTCTCTAGAAGGTCATAAAATACTGATGATGAAAACGTAGGTTATGCCAATTCTCAATGTCCAAAAACTTTTCTAATGTATGTATAACAAACAAGGGCACCAAAATTACTTTAAAAAGTTAAGTCTAGTCAACCACAATGAGTTGATATTGCATTTCATTTTTAAGAAGTTATGATATTACAAAAACAAATAAACCAATCACAGACATGAAACCAAACAAAAATATAATTGATAGAAAAGATTATTATCCTAGTTCAAACCAGGTTTATCATTTGTCATTCAAGCCAAGCCCCAGACTTACATTTTGGGGCCCATAAACCAACAACAAAATATGGCTAATTTTTATCATCATTATCAAAGTAACCAATCTGTTGATACAAATCAAAGTCAATCTCTCTATTAAACAACATATCCTTTTCTTCTTATTAACATCCATAAAACAGAGAGGTTCAGGATAAATTGAGTTCATCTCACCAAGGATTATATTTATGCCAAATAGCACACAACAGAATTGGAAAAAAAAAAAACCTCCCCCCATCCCCTTACATTTCATCGGTCGGCAGATTTCTTGATTCCTGCAATTAGGTGGCAAATTGTTTAAAAAGTCATAATTATACCTTGTTTACATGAAGTCCTCTTCTAGTTCTTGCAAGGACTTGTTGGCTGATGCTATCTCTTTGTTAGATGTCATCTTTTCAGCTACCATCAAATTCTTGTGGCTCCTTACCTCTGCTTGCCTCTCCTTGTCAAGCCTCTCCATCTCCTCCCGACATTTCTGCAAAAATCATAGGCAATAATTCCATTTTAAAAATAAGACATCAATTCAAGGGGGAAAAAAGAGTTATATTTAACAACCAAGAAACAAGAATCTGTCTCATGAACTGATGAAAATAAAATCAAAGAATGGGGATTAATTGAACATGTAACTTAGGGGGTGTTTGGGATGATGGTTTGAGGCTAAAATAGCCAATAAAGACAAAAAAAATGCTAAAATAGCTAATAAGACAAAATGTCACATCTTACAAATCAAATCATCCTAAACACAACTTTTTTTCATTAGCTAAAATAGCCAAAAAGCCAACTAAAACAGCATCAATTCAAGGGGGAAAAAAAGAGTTATATTTAACAACCAAGAAACAAGAATCTGTCTCATGAACTGATGAAAATAAAATCAAAGAATGGGGATTAATTGAACATGCAACTTAGGGGGTGTTTGGGATGATGATTTGAGGCTAAAATAGCCAATAAAGACAAAAAAATGCTAAAATAGCCAATGAGACAAAAAAATGTTAAAATAGCTAATAAGACAAAATGTCACATCTTACAAATCAAATCATCCCAAACACAACTTTTTTTCATTAGCTAAAATAGTCAAAAAGCCAACTAAAACAGCTAACATCCCAAACGAGGCCTTAATTTAAAACCCAACATGAAACCATGTTCTTTTTTTCTTTGCTCTTATCCATTTGATGCCTTCAACTTGAATATGTCAGTGCTAGGAATCAAAAAGGCCGACCCTTTTTTTTTTTTTTTTTTTTGGTGAAACTTTATTAAAGAAAAAAGATTTAAGTACAAAAGAAGTCCACCAAACAACAGGAAAATAAAAATAAAAAAAAATCAAAAATCAATAACAAAAAGTATAAAAAGAGCAAAATCTCACATACTACAAAAAAGCTCTATTTTCTTTTTTTCCTTTTTTTTTTTTTTTGATTGACAAAAAAAATAAGAATTTTATTTGGAAAAATAAAAAGAGATACCAGAAGAGGACAAGGAATACTGTACAAGGGTAGAACAAATAAAACCAAGCATATCAAAGAAAACAAATTATACATCACAAAGAGTTCTTCAATCTGTAGAAATCAAAAAGAACAGAATCCCTTTAAACGGGGAAGAAACGTAAGCACAAAATGATGCCAGGTGACACACACTCACAACAAATCCAAGTACTCAAAGTTTTCCTCAAAGATCATTGCATTCGTTTCCAACCAAATAACCCAAAAGATTGAGAAAACAACACAACGCTTTTTAATCAAAAGAGCAGCATTTGACAAGAGAATGGTTAGAAAAAAAAAAGTGTTTTTAATCAAAAGAGCAGCATAGGACAGGAGACTGGAAACAATAAATCCCAACTTGCCACCATGTAAGGATACCAATAAATTCAGTTTTGCATATGTTCCAGATTAAATAAGCAAGTCCAGATTCATGACCAAAACTATCACCACATGGAGATCTTTTGTGCTGGAAAACTAACTTTTTCCAATCAAAAAAACAAAAAGATAATTCTAGATTTTAGGCCCATATTACATCAGGTGTACAACATACATACGGTGATGGGATACATATTTATATCAAAGCAGTAAAGTAGTGTATTTTAGGCTAACCCTCATTACTGATATGGGGATTAAGGAAATTCTCCAATCAGAACAACCCCATCAAATTCAAACTATGTCGTTTTACTAGCCCATTCCATGCCATATTGTAGCATATATTGGTTTACAAGGTTGGTTAATCCTACTCTGAGTACCAGAATGACATCATCCCTGGTATGACTTGGCCTGTTTCCCATAGGGTAGAACAGCAAAGCGTGAAGTCGGTATGGGTATTGTTGGATAGCTTGATATATATTGTTGGACTCATTTTCTAATAACATACTATTAGAGCTTTCATTCAGAGAAGTATTGAGTTTAAGTCTCCCAGTTTGCATTTGTTTCCTTGTTTAGTATGTTTGTTTTAACTTTGTTTGGTTTGTTTATGATGCAACATGCTTGGTCATGCAATTCTTGGACCAAATACACATGTGCATGGCCAAACAAGGCAAAAAGCACTACTAGCAATTAAATAGCACGTGCTCAAAATCGCGTGAAATTTGATAGGTTGACGGAAAACATCATTATGAATGGGATCCATTGCTTCGCCATGGACCCCACTAAATTTTCAAGTGAATTCCATCATTTAGACTGTCACTTTTGAGATTTTTCTGTGTTTATTCATTTATTTAGTTTTGCAACTTCGATTACTCTTACTATAGAAGTTAGAATTCGACCCCATCGAATCTGGCTTCATCATGTCAGCCTAAATTAGTAGTTTTTTATTCAGTTCAATATTTCCATTTTTGGAAATTTTTGTTGTATTTCCTTATTTCTGTGTATTTAGTTAAGAAACTACCAATTTCAATTGTTTCAAAGTATTGTTGGGTCTGCTTGTCACTATAAATAATTATTGTAAGCCTTAAGGCTGATCAGTTTTTTGTGAATTAATAAATTTTGAAGTTTATACTCTTCTTCCAACCTTAGGGATTTGTTTCAAATCAACCATTCTTGAGCCTTTATTCTTGGTATTTTTTGTCGAGAAAGATCTTGCTTCTAATATTCTTTTTGAGTCAATGGATTTCAAGATCATTACCATACTATCCACATGCAGGATAAAGCTACCCGTGAAGGAGGGTGTTGCATAGCTTGATATAAAGTGTTGAACTCATGTCCTAACCATGTAAGCTTTGGGGAATTGGGACTAGTGGTGATCGAATGCATAACTAGAGAAGAGGATTGAAGGAATGAAAGACAAATCATTTTGCTAGCAGCAAACTTGAAAAGCTTGCAGGGATGTGGTTACAAGCAATAACTTTATTCTAGTGAAACTGATATACTGACAATTTTGAACATTTTTAATTGAGGGAATAATTGGGCCTAGAGTATTAACAAATACAATAGCTAGGACACAGAAAATGAAGAGAGAATTCGCAAGGAAATTGAGAGCAACAAAAGTATCCAGGAGAGAAAAGTAACAGCTGCTAGGGAAATCTAAGCAAAAGTAATCAATCCCAGAACATCTCGAGATTTCAAAATTAGAAATTATTTGCAACATCCACAAAACTTTCAAAGTGTTGAGGATGGATTAGCTTTATGTAGTAAGCTAACATGAATCACAGGTACAATTCAGGATATCAGTCATTAATATGGGCCTGCTGTCACTACTACAATCACAGACTTTGCGGAAACAAGGCGAAAGCTCACAAAAGGAAATGGAAATGCCAGGATAACGAATGAGGCAGCAAGATGAAACTGATGACTACAATTCAAGAAGAAACTTAGTGCCAAAGGTAAAAGGGAATACAAACAATTTGCAAATACTAGTTAACTGTCACAAAGAATTTTTCCGTAGATTCGAATATTTGCAAAGATAATCCTTTTCCTAGTTATAAAAAAATTGAATACTTAATAACATTTCAAGCTCATGCAAGCATAATAATAAACACCCATTTATTACTCTTGTCAAAAAACAGCAAAGAAAATACAAGACTCACTTATCTCTCAGCTGTAGTTTTCTCTCTGCTCTTTCTGCTGCATTAACTGCTTCGTGCTCCGCTGCACAATATACAGATACAAATAACTTTTATATCCAAAAAGAAAATCAAAAGCATGTTAATATTCAAAAGATGTACAGCTCAGAAACAAATAACATATTGAAAATTAGTAGTGGTATATATAGAGTAAAAATTACAAAAACATGTAGGAAAACAAGATAATAATAAAACAGAGGGTAGTTATTAACTATTATTTCAATCAAATAGGACAACAAAAATAATATATCCTCTGAAATCAGATAATGAAGGTGAAGTCCATCTAAAAATCTCACAAGCAAGCAAAAACTATAAAATACCTTTCCAGTCTGGTTTCCTTTCTGCTTTTGTCCGGTTCAATCTATTCACTATCTCATTTATACGCTTCTCCACCCTCACAGTGTGGACCTAAATAGATCACCAATATCAAATGAGGGCCGTCTCCCATGTCCACACTCAATACAAAGAAGGAAAATGGAAGTTGTAGGCACTATTCAACCAAATTGCAACAGAAAAGCTCACCATTTTTGGATTATGGAAGCCAACTTGGCCAACATCCATGGAATCAGTCTTTTTCAAATTTTGCCAGGGTGTGTAAACAACATCAACATTATTCACCTTGTTTCCTGTCAGATATAAATGATGTCAAGGAAATGAGTTACTGCATTGCCAGAGCATTGCCGAATGCAAAGCAGGCAAAAAGCAAGACCATTAATTATAGTATTAGTCATAATCTCCATCAGCCCAAGTCAAGTTGATGCAGAACATGCGAAAAGTGGATATAACATAGTGAGGTGATATTTAAGTCCAGTTCTGTTGGGTTTTTTTTTTTTAAACACTCAAATAGTAGAGACAGATGTTTTAACCTCAAAGTTACAATATTTCTCACAATTTTAAGTGAAATTTAACACCCAAAAAAATGTAATAAAAAAAATCTAAACTAATGATTTAGTAGACAGTTTTTTTCCCCTTAAAATTACCCATATTTATCAGAATGCATTATTGTCTTTTCTATTGAAGTTTCTGTACTTTATGCACATAGTGCAAACAAAATATTAACTAGATTTTTAACGCTACTATGATAAGCTGAACTTCATGATATGGAAGATGCTAACTTAAATATTGCCAACACATCAATTTGTATATTATATATATTCACAATACTTGACTTCCAACTTTGGAGTTAATAGTATTTAATTTAGTACTGAAAATCTAACCCCCAATGGGACAATCAAGTAAACAATAAGAAAGAACTGAGCAAAAACAAGCTACAACCTTGGATCTAATCCCATTCTTCAATTTTGAAAACATAATTAAATATTTGAACTCAAGATTTATTCACTTATTTATTTGTTTGTTTGTGTGCTTCTTTGTTTTGGACCTTTTGACACTCCTTTCATTTCTTTTTTCTTAAATGTTATTCCTTAAAAGTGTTACGAGTGATAAATTTAATCCTTTTCTTTCACATGCTGCAAGCAAGCTGTCAGGGGCTTTAGCGAGGGGACCAATGTAACACATGAAGTGCCCTCACAATACAGTTGCGAGACTGTAATGTAATCAGGACAATCCAATGGCATTACCTAAAGATGTCACAAAACTGTCTTCATGAAATCTGAAAAAAGAGAAATATGTTATATACTAGTAGGATGGCACTCACATTCTAAGTGCACAGCTATGAGAAAAAGTAGGAAAGTGGAACCGGATAAGGAAATGGAAGTTCTTGATTGATAGCAAGGAGAGAATAAGGAAGTGGGAAGTGTTTTTTAATTACTGTCATAGACTCATAGGTTATTTTCATAATCTTAAGATGGAGATCAAGAGAACACCAAAACTGCACCAGCTTAATATGTGATCACACTTTCCTGTAAGAAATAACTTAGAAGTAAAATTTACTCAGTGAAGGAGAGTGTTGTTAGGGGATGGTTGCATGTTTCCATCTTCAAGGAACATAATAAGGTGAAACTCCTTAACTTCTTTGACACTCGGATAGTTGACTTAAGGGTTATCTAATGGCTCGCTACGGTTAAAGCACAAAATAGTAAGTGTTTGAAGCATTTGCCTTGGATGGAATTCGCCTTGTCTAGTTGAGCACAATCTTCCAAAAGACCTTCAGATATATCATCCATTGTCTGACCCTTGTGCAGTCTCTCACATAAACATGGGCCGAAGACATTTTGTCCACGTGAAACCTGCAGTAGAATACCCAGTCAAGAAAGTGCCAAATCCAAATGTAAAGAAAAGATTACACTTTGAAACAAAACAACGTAAATATTCTCCTATCTTGGAATAGAAACCCATCAAATATACACAAGACCTAAACCCTAACAAGTAAGCCGTATGAGTTTGCGCAAAAGGTGTTTTATGTGACAAAGCTGGTTCCATATACCAGTAAAGAAGGAAATACCTCATAGGAGATTAGATTGCAGGTCATTTGCTGCAAAGAACCTCTACATATTCACACAGATTATTACAAAAACTCACAAGAGCTAAGCCACTAAACATACAAATTTCCAAAATAATATTAACCAAACTCACAGCCAAATCAAGCCAAACCAAACCAAAACAAAACAAAACAAACTAAGCCTTGCGTCCCAATCAAGTGCGATCGGCTACACAAATCTTTTTTCACCATTCTACTCTACCAAATTGTATATGCTTAGTTAAATCAATATTCATATATATTTTTTACTACCGCACCCCACATTAATTTATGTCTTCCTCTGCCCCTAACATTTCCATTTGTGGTCATATCTTTCTTCATTACTATTGCATCAATAGGTATTCGTTTTACATGACAAAACCATCTCAACAGTTGATCTATTAGGCATAATCCAAATTGATTCTCTAATAATGTTGTAGCTCTTAAGCAATGTTCAAGCACTCTCTCCTATAATTACACTGTATGATTCATTAACTTAATGCCTCTATAGTTGTTGCAATTTTGAATATCTATATTATATTTATACACGAGCACTTGAATATTTTTTTCAATTGTCAAGCATTATCTTAGTCATTAGAATCTTATTAAAAAAATTATTAACCAAAATACTCTTTTCTTACCTAAGCATTTTTAAGCCTAAATAAGGATAAAATCTGGTCCTACTAGGTTACTTGATTCCATCTTCTTAAATTCAAATTCCACCTCAAACTCTAAGGCCTCGTTTGGCACCTTTCAATTTTAACCAAAAAGTCACTATAAATTGTCGCATCGTCTCTTTACTTTTCTATACATCTTTTCCTAAAAAATGACTAAAATAGTATGTTCCAAAACGAAGCCTTAATTGACAATAAAACCTTTATTCTACAGTTCCATCAAGACTTATTTCATATTTCCTTATTCTTCTCATCTGGCACTAGCACCCTCAAATGCTCACTTTTCATGCACTTAACCTAATTAAAATCTCTTGGAGTACTAGAGGATATTGTGAGTGATCGGGACACTCGCTCTACTAGCGGTTCTAGACAAAGTTATTCAAATCTGATCAGGTCAGAGTTGAAATTTTCCACAGCAAACCACTTACAAACTGATGGTCAGGCGGAGCAAATGAATGCATTGCTGGAGGAATATCTGAGACATTATGCCATAGTAAGTTAGAAAAATTGGGTAGACTTACTTGACAATGCACAATTCTGTCATAAAACTATAGTTATCTGCTCTTCAACAAGTTTTTGTTGCATCAACTCATCCACATGATCCCAAAATTGTCTTTTTAATATATTCCTCTAATCTTATTTGGGGTGTATAGACACTAATCACATTAACCATAATTTCTCCAATTATTAATTATTTATTTTTTTTTATCTCCTATTTTTGTGATTGTTACTACCTTATGTTTAGCTACAATTATTCCTACACCATGTTTATTTCCATCTTGACCAGTATAATAAATTTCAAACCCCATTTTTTTTCCTTCGTATTTTCACCTAGCCACTTAAGTTTCTTGTGAACATGTTATACCTTCCAATCATAATATCTATTAATTACATGGTTTTACCTATTAATGATCCTATATTCCAAGTACTACAATTCTGGGCAGTTCTTTAACCGCTCTTGCTAGAAAACCGCAGGAACCCTGTCTATTCTGCATTGCACCTGGGCACCAATGTAGAGCCCCTTGCCAATTTTTTGAAATGCTAGAAGACAGGCACAAGGCGTCACTTACAGGGAACACCCTAGCCCTTATTTCCATATTTATATTAGGATTCATGTACATAAGGGATCTTACAAAAAAAAAAAATTATGAACTGATTGTCAAGTTATCCAACACACAACCCTTATCCTTATCTAAAGCTTATACCAAATGTATAAAAGATTAAAAACTGAGCATGGTACAGGTAGAGAATCCACAAGATCTGTGAGCCCAGGTTATATGAAGCACAACCACCTGCCCTCTCATCAAAGAATCCCATACCGAGTGGTAACCGGAAAAAATTATGAATTCACAGACTATTTTTTCTTCAATTAGAAGTAAATTTTATTTAAGAAGAACAGTAGCTAGAGGGCACCACCCATGTATACAAATCAAAAGTACCATTATAACTTCCAATGCATCATACACCTCCATATTTGTTAAAGCCTTAATAAGGCTATGAAATAAATAAATAAAGGACAAATACGGACCTCCCTTGGCAATTACTCAAATTACACTCAACCTCGCTAGTATGGAGAAATGGCATCGGCCTACCCTAAAAATTTAATCGCTCAAAGAAAAATTAGGAGAAAGAATCGATCTTCAATAGACAAACCCCAACGAGCCCTTGGTTGATGGTGGTTTTATGGGTGAAGAAAATCTAAGAAGAATGGTGAGGTTGCAAGGCTGGGGAGGAAGACAAAGGTGGTGTAGTGTGCAGGACAGAGTTCGCAAGCAGCACTGCCGGACGGATTTCTCGAGCGGAGCTGAGCTAGGTTCAGAGCGCTGCCCAATAGCAGTCAATAATTTGACAATATACATATACAAATATAAAAGTGTAATTATCATATAATAATTAGTTAAATTATTTGTGTATTTTGATAATTTTAGTTCTATCATATTATAAAAATGTAATTATCATATAATAATTTTGTATGATGTTCATTTTGATATTAAAAATAATAATTAAATTAGAAGAAGAATTATTAACATAAAATTAAAAGTAATTCTAACTATTTAAATTTCTTTTGTATTCATTTGGAAAATAAAAATGTAGAACTAGAAATTATATAAAATATATTAAAAAAATTAAATATAAATATGTTGCAGTTGGATTATCATATGATTTTATATAATGTAATTAAATTAAAATATTAATTATATAAAAGAAATTCAATAATGGCTAATCAAGAAAGAATCACATAACAACATCTAAATCCAAAAAAAAAAAATAATGAAAACTAACCAAGAAAGAATCACATAACAACATTTAAATCCCAAAAGAAAAAATAATAAAAACATCCAAACGATAGATACATCTCAATGTGAGAAGTAATTAATCATTTGTAATATGATGTCAAAACATATAAGAACTTATTGTTCAACAATTGAAAAAATAACTCAAGCAATAAATCCAAACTTTAGAGATTCCTTGAGAGTATCATTGTTATGTAGGTTTTTCCTCCTATGAGTTGTGATTATATAAAATAATATAA